GGGAGCAGTGAGGCAGCCCCTGTGGCACTGGGGTGTCAGAGCCCTCCCCGGGTTGCCGTAGGAGTGCTGACGGAGCAGGGGAGACACGGAGGCTGCCAGCGTGTGACAGTGGGGTCTGGGTGGGGGGAAGCTGTGAGGATTCCTCAGCTGTGGCGGTGAGATCTGGGTGGGAGGATGTATTTCGTTCTGGAGGTGGAAACCCCACAGGCAGCGCTCCTAAGCAACAAGAATAGAACCAAATCTCACTTTTAGTCCCGTGCCCTAATAGTGCAACTTCTTCTGCCGGAGGACCTGGTTCAGGGAGAGAGAGGTTGGGAGCGTGAGGTTAGGGCAGAGGATCTCTGCTTAGGGCCGCTGCGTTTGTCAGCGTGGGAAGGGAAGTCTTGGAGCTCAAACTGGATGAAAAAAACTGTCAAAAAATTACCAGGCAACATGTTCTTGTGTAATTCTTCCAGTAATCCTGCTTTTAAGTATTTCACCATTGAATTGTTGTACCAGTAAGAAGCAGGTACTGTGATATGCGATTTCTGTTTAATTATTTTTTTTTTTAATGGTAGCATACAGTTGAATCATTTGTCCCCAAATGCGAATTATTTATGTCCCCATCTAGTGAAGAATGTTAGGACTTTTTTTTTAAGCAAGTAGCAGGAAGGAACAGTAGCGTATTTTGGTGACGGGACTAGCAGAAAAAGTCGATGGGGTTATTTTTTTTCACATAAGGTGTTGCTGGAGCTAAAGGTGACAGGGTTGTGCAGAGAGTATTCAGATGTACGGAGCCCGCAGGAGGTGCCTTTACAGTCTGAAAACACACTGTTACCCACTGAGATGAGCGGGAATTTTCAGTCAAAAACTGCTGAGCTGTGCAAGTCCTTTCCTTCCTCTGGCTTCCTTTGTCTGGAGGAGGCAGGAGCTTTGCCTCTTCCTTCTGAAGGATGTTATTTTTCAAAAACGAGGTTGGAATCTGTCACTGTCCTCCGTTTGCACCTCAGTGGAGAAAACAGACGCTGTTCCTTGAGGTGACACAGCTGGCAGTAGAGTTAATAGAAGAAATATTATCTATTTTCACTGGTAAAAAGAATATACTTGCTTTTTTTTTTTTTTTAAATACACCAAACATGACTCGCTAAAGGTAAAACCCGTTTATGTGGTTTGATTTGGATTGCTGCTTTTTTTTTTCTTTAATGTTATGCTGGCTGAGAATCTCAACATATAAAAGTTGACGGATTTTGTCTTTTTGTCCTTTCTCTTTGTTTGTTGTTCCAGATAATGACACCAGACCAGAGTCCGGCGACTTCCCTCATCGACAGGACCATCAAGATGAGGAAAGAGACCGAAGCCCGGAAGGTGGTCTTGGCCTGGGGTCTGCTTAACGTGTCTTTTGCTGGCATGATATATACTGAGATGTAGGTTAATTGTTACAAACAAGCGAAGTATCCTACTTTGTAGATCCCTAAATATTTCCCAGGAGCAAATTGTTGCAGAATGGCAACAAGTTCTTTTTTCTTTTCAGGACTGGAAAACTCATCAGCTCGTATTACAACATCACGTACTGGCCGCTCTGGTACATTGGTGAGTCGCTGCAGCCCTGAAATTAATTTTCAGTGTTCTTCTCTTTTTTCACTTGTCAGTTTTGTTGTAAGGAAGGTTATTTTTAATCCAGACTTCTTTTCTTTTTTGGGGAGTTGTTTTAAATTTAAGCCAAACCTTTGGTTTGCTTTCTCTTATCTGCCTTGAAACCTCTGAAATTTGGTCCTTTTTAGTGGCAGATAAGGATTGTTAACAGCTTTCTGAGATATACCATGAAAGAGCTTGTTTGCTGCATTAAATCTGTTTAATGTGTGGAGAACACTGCAGATTTTACTGGAGGTGTGGATGGCATTTCACAATAATTAAAAGTTTGTTTCCCCTGAGTAGGCTCTTAAGCTGTGTCAGATACTGTTAGAGGATGAGGCAAGAGGGAGAGAAGAGTCACGAGTCACAGATGATTTGATGGAGGGTGATTTTTGCAGTAGTTCACGCCCCTTTTGGGAAATGACCTTCCGTTTTTAAAAATATAATTTTCCTTGCTATAGTGAGATTAATTTATCTCCACTGGTTCTGGCATAAGAAAGTGAAGAAATCTGAGATAGCTGCTAAATTGCTACTTATTGATGACACTAATACTGACCTATTTTCAGTGGGCATATGCCTGTTTTTGCAAATAATATGCTTTTATGATTCCTTGTTCTCAAGCTATGGTAAAAACTCGTGCTTTTCTTCCAGAACTTGCGCTTGCGTCGCTGTTCAGCCTGAATGCCTTGTTCGATTTCTGGAGATACTTCAAATACACGGTAGCACCGACAAGCTTGGTCATGAGTCCTGGCCAGCAGACCCTGCTGGGCTTGCGGAATGCAGGTGGGTGTAAGAAATACCTCTGGAAATCTTTTTTTATTCTTTGTTTGTTTGTTTTGAGACCGTATCTTTCTCGATGACAGGATTTGTAAGCGAAGTGAGTTTTGTGTTACCTCCTCTGATGGGAGCGGTAAACTAAATTAAAAACCAAGAGTATTGTTATTCATGACATCGAGTAGTAATTTGATAAGTGTTTGTAGGGAGAAGTGGAGGGGAGACACACAGGCTGGAAAAGGACAGGATAGCGAGAGTCAAACATTGTGAGGCTGGACGAGGCGTTTGTAACCTACGCATGGGACGAGGAGCAAGGCAGAGAATGCAAGTTTATATTTTAGGTTTTTGTACCCTACTGTCACGCTGCATCATGAGAACCTAGTTAGAGGCACACACGGAGCTTCGTGCGCAAGCTGAAAATGACAGCCTAGGGAGCAGTTGCTCAGAAAGCTTTTGGAGGATCAAAGCAAAGTTTTTAAAATACAGCAGAACCCGTCGAGGTAAATAAACTGAAAGCAAAATGCTAGTGCAGTACTCTGCTAGTCTGCCCCTAGAAAACGGGAAGCAGACAGGAGTGACGCTGGATCACCAGAGTTCAGGGCTCTTGTATGTTTGTTTGCTTGCACAGATCAATTAAAACATTCGAGCTGCTAAAGATGTGTCAAGTAGGCGGGTAGAGCAGCTTATGAAATAGGTTAGAGAAGCCCCCCTCGAGCTACACAAAGGGACATTTAACTGAAATCTGGAGCTGTATGATTTGTACGGAGTTGTGGTCGTGTGTCTGAGTCTTCTTTTATTTTCCTGTCGGTGGATTGACCGCTGAGTTCTGTAGAGGCCAGATTTTTCTTGTGCCCCTTCTTACATCTTTTTAAAATTGCTTTAAAATAGCGTTGCCTGTGCATTTACAGGGAGGAGGAGAATTTGGGGCTGTTGCATCCACAGTGCTAATTCTGTTTTTCCTTGCAGCCATACAAACGACTCCACCCCGTGAGCTGGCAGCAAAGAAAGCCCCGTCTTCGACACCTTCTCCTCCGATCCAGGGGCAGAGCGTGCTGAGTTACAGCCCGTCCCGTTCTCCCAGTGCCAGCCCAAAGTTTACTACCAGTTGTATCACGGGGTACAGCCCTCAGCTACAGGCTTTGGCGAGCAACAGCCCTTCTTACAGCAGTGCTGTAACCTATTCACCAAGCAGCAGTTACAGTAAGGTAATGACCAAGGCACCTCCTGAGAGTACAGTTTCGTGTTTGTGTTGTGTATTTGTGTGTTTGCTGCTTTTTGCAAAGTCCTTTTTCCCTAGCATCACTTGAGTGACTCCTTTGTTTCAGAACAAAGCAAAAAAACCCAAACTGGAATGTAAATACAAAGCAGGACCGAAAAAAAACCACAGCTCAAAGCCAAAAGTGATTCATTTGTTTGGTTTTATTCACCCAAGGTCTCCAGCTTCAGCCCCTCTCCTAGCGGCTCCCTGTACCCGACGAGTATTGGTTCTGTAGTAAGCGCCGGGCTGAGGTCTCGTTACCTCTCTTCACCCCTTCTGTATAATTCTCCAACTGGCAAAGAAGACTACATGACAGAGCTCAAGTCGCTGGACAACTTCCTTCGAAATGAAGGGGAGAAACAGCAAAGAGTTCAATTAGGTAAATAACCAAATTTGATACGATCATGAAAGGTTGGTGAGGAGAAAGGTGTTGGCTTTGTTCGAGATTGGCTTTTGCGGATGAGAATAATTGCAAAGGATTCTGTCGTATTCCCACTAGTAAACAGACCCGACTCGTTTATGGTAATCACCTAGAATCACAGAATGTTGGGGTTTTGAAGGGACCTCTAGAGATCCCCCAGTGCCAC